GCATAATTCAGATTTAAGGTATTCTTTAGTATTTCAAAGTGTTATGAGCAGGAAAATTCGACCCTTAATTCATAATCCTTAATAAGAGGGCTATTTTAACTTTACATCTTATAAATATAAGCAAAATAAGACATAAAAGTCAAAAATCTCCAAAAGTCAATTGAATAAAATTGACATTTTCACATTTCGCACACGGAAGTTGATTCAGTAATAATAACATCGAATAAGCGTTTCATGGATAATTTACGGAGCATATTGAAGCTTGTCATTTATCATTTGGCTTCTTTCTTTCGTCTGCAATGACGTTATATGATATCGAAAGAGTAAACACGTCAAAAACTCATGTGTCATAATTATTATCACGATACTAATCCCAATTCTTAATCTTTGGCAGTGAGACAGCATCGAAACTTCTTTTCCTTGTTTATTGTTATCAGTAAATGATAAGATTGAACGCGGCTTTTTTTTTTGCCAACGACTAAACTAAACTTTTATTGAGGTTAATTTGGTCTGACTTTAAGAATTATTACAGAGAATTGTCTATAATAAATAAATTTTTTATATCGTAAAGGGATTCCATTTATCGAATCTTTAAATGAATGACATGAAATAAAAAAGGGAAAAGCTATAAATGAATTCGATATGAATTTTATTGCTGAGGAGTGCATTAAACAACACATTTCAGTATTAAATGGGCAAAAAAGAAGTATCCTTGTATGGGGACGGATCGTAAATATTTATAGCCTTAAAGGAAATAAAAAGAAAAGAAAGAAAAAAACGCTGTAATGATTTGGGACGTAACAATGGACATGTCTTGACACACAAAATGGACGTAAATACTTTACCAGAATATTCACATATTCCCTACACAAATGTGATGAATTTAAAGCACGTTAAAGCATTTTGTATTATGTCATTGAAAGGATCAAAACTGTTTTTTTTTCGAAAATCTATTTGTTAACATTAAAGACTGAATGAAAGTAATCCATTAGAAATGTGAGTTTGTAAATGCTTTGAGTCAGTTATTCTATGAGCGCATTGTTAACAAAAAATTCAATTTCAAGGTTCTTGTTTGATTTAGACTAGGTTTAATGTGAACTTAGATTGTCTTCAAGTTTATGCTACAAAGAAAAGGAAAATAAATTATTTGAAATTGATCACTATTGATAATTTCTATTCAGTTCTACATACTTGATTAGCTACCAACGTAGTCTCCTTATTTACCTAGTTAATCTATTATTTGTCTAGTGTGGAACATATTTTTTTCAATTTTTTTCAAAGATGACGTCATTTCTTATATTTTTAAGTTGTGGGATAGTCTGTTATGTATAAGGATCCACAGTGATTAAATATGCCAATTAAAAGAAGAACTCTAGTCAGAAAATCCACAAAAAATTTTAATTCTAGTTAAAAAGCCAAAGTGCTACTTAAATATTCTCTTTGTTTATCAATAAACTCAAACTTCTGAAGTTCCTACATGACTGTGGGTGTTGGTAACATTATGTATATCTACATTTAGTATTCAACATACGAACATACAGAATAAAAAATTTTGGAAGCAAAGCAGCATGAATAAAAGGGTTTTTTTTATCTGCTATTTTCTCCTATTTTTCACATCGACCAGATTATTTCGTCATTGGAAAATTCAATTGAACATTGCTTCGTAATGGAAGTGAATAAATGTTCTTCTTATTTCTCTTTTGTGTTGAGGAAAACCCTCGAGATATAAAAGTTTATTTTATTCTTTTCAACAAGGTTTTCATTCCGCCATTGCGAAGCAAAATAAAATCTTCAGAAACTTTTTAATAGAAATGGCACACGAATTTCCTTTTATATTCAAGTATTTTCTCTTAAAGGAAGGCATACGAAAAGTTTAAAGAGCTCTTCTAATCGATAGCAGACGCTCCGTCCCACCTTCTTTTTCCGGCTAAAGCAACAAATAAGTCTGTCATTTCTTTATTTATTATCACAGCAAAATACAAATCTCAGATCTTGTGTTTCTGCATCGATACATTTATTACCATGAACATGAGCTAGATGGAGGAGAAAATCTTTTTGGAACTAAGATGAAATGGAAGGAAAAAAATAAAAATCGATTTTCTTAAGTTCTATCGCAAGGGATCGAGAGAAATAAAATTTATCATTTTTTTTTGCCTTCATATAGAATCTTACATACAAAGTTTTAGACTATATGTTTTGCAGCAGACGTGAAAAAAATGATTTATGACTTGCTTCACTAGGAGGGAGCTTCATTCATTGCATTGAATTTATTGCTGGTTGAGTAATATTTTTGAACTCGCGAATGTGAATGAAGAAATATTATTATTATTTTTTTTTTATCAAGGTTCTCTACATTTTCTTTGTTTCCACAGCAGAAGTTATCGATTCATAGAAAGATAGAAATAAAAAGCAATTGAACCTTAGTCTAATAATTAATTGCGTTCCTCTTAAATTGATAAAATTGAGTATGTGAGTTTGGTTGGAATTTTACAATTAATCCAGAAAAGGAGTTAAATTTGGTTTGGAAAGCTTTCTTAGAAGAAATTTCCAATAATTTTCAAAGCTAGATTAATCATTCGTGTAGCATTAAAAATGAAAATAAGTACGAGGAAATAAACAAAAACAATTCTTGGAAATTGAAATTCTATCTGAATATGAATCAGGAATAATTTAAAAGATCTTTTGAATGTACGTTACAATCAACACTTGGATACCATACAATCTTGCAAAATAACACTAGCTATCTTTTGACTGCGTGTTTTACAACATATTCACATCCAGAATTTCACGTTTTCCTCACAATACTTTTATTTTTAAAATCTTTATCAGATTTTGTTACTTTTTTCCAATTTTCTGAATTATTCCCGAGTAGCATAATTTACAACTGGCTTTTTAATGGTTGTCTCTAGAATAATACAGTGAAGATAGCCAAATCAGCTATAATATCACTAGAATCTAATCTCAAACCAACCATTTAAATACCAAACTTAAATTTCATCGCTCGGGAGTAAAACACGAAGAAATAGCAATCATGTGATAGCACCTTTTAACTTGTGTACTTCAATTAATGTGCGTACAACAACTTATTAAAGAATTCTATTGTCAAGCCCAATCATGAGTTCTTCCAAAAAAATCAGAAAATTTCATTCTTATCAAGTTATTGCGAAATATTCGAGAGCTGTATCAGCCTGCCTTAACCAGTTATTGATATCAAAAATCGAGACAAAAAAAAAGTTTATAACACTGAGTAAGTACTGTGATAATCACCATAGGTCGACTATGTCATGACTTTTATCAAATCCGGACTCAACGTCACCAATTGATAATGATTGATAATACAAGCCTTAAAATTTTTCCGTGGTTTTCTTCCAATGTTTTCATTACGATTACTATGGGATTTTCCATTATCAGAGAGCATTTTTGAAGTAGTTTATCAAAAATGAGATGTAATTTGGCTATATATGGTCAATACTTATCTAATGCTAGTCAAAAGTGAAATGGAGCAGTGCTGCGTTATCAAATATTTTTTGGTGTCTATTTTCGTAAATAAATAAAGTTTTTATCACTTTACTTCTTGACGCACTTACAGGAATTGAATTGAATTTTCCTGGAAAGAATTTATCTTGTATCGACAAGCTGAATTTCTCCAACAAGGTCTTCGGCATGATATTACAACTTATCAAATTGCTTGGCCACGAGAATATGTTTGAGTGGCAGTCAATTATGTACTTCCCGAGCGGCACACAAGCGTCATATGACGGTCATATGACGGTCATATGACGATCGTCATGGTCACAAAGACGTCATGAATGACGATCATATGATCATCATATGACGATAAGACGTTATCACGACGTCGTTTTGATTGTATTTACAACGCCATATGACCGTCATTTGACAAAAAAATCGTCATTCGACGATCATACGATAACGTCATATGACGATCGCGTGATGGTCTTTTGACGAGATTATGACGGAATAACGACGGCACGTTATCAGTTCAGTGACGATAAAAAAATCATGAAATATGCTTAATATGGGCTGAAAAATAAAATATCTTAAAGAAATTGAACTGAGTGATTTAATTTTTATGATTTTTATATTTGTCATAGTAAAACATCATAACTACAATTTACCAACAAAAAAAATATTGGATTAAAGAATTTCCACTTTCACTACTATCCAATCTTTAGCAGGTTCCTTCATATCCTGGACAAGCTTTTGTTTATTGATGGCGTTCTTTGGGGGATATTGTGTAAACACATCACCGTCTTCATCGAAAATCCAAGAACTTGGAACCATGAACAATCCATTCTTTGAGTCCAGTACCACAGAAAACTGGTGCGTTAACGAAACAATTCTATTAAAAACCAATAAAAAAGTAAAACTTGCAATAATTATTTGGATTTACAAACCTTTTTTTTGAACTGGTGTAATGCTAATGCCTTCAAATTTTTTTCACAATTAAAACACTTTATAAATACACGTCTGTCCTTTTTGAATTCTCAATTGCAATTGAGGAAAAAAAATTTCTAGAAAATTGAAGGTAACTGAGATTTAAATGTTTAAATGAAAAATGCTTGAAGTATTGAATAAAAAATTGGTCTCAGCAATCACAAAATTTTCACGTCATCGTCATTCATGACTTTCATATGATCGTCATATGATCGTCATATGATCGTTATAATATTTTAGAAAAAAAAAATCGTCAAAAAATCGTCATCGTCAGACGATGACGCTCATATGACGATCATTTGATCATCATCGTCAAATTGCGCCGCTCGGGCTTGTATCAGGTTTTACAACTTGCGACTTGATACGTAAATATAGCAAACATGGTTGTCATGTCCATTTACAAATGTAGATCCTAATGGGAGATTTCCAAGAAAAACTAAGAAATTACGTTGGTTCCCATCGACTTGTCAAACTTCTTATCGCAAATTATGATTCTTCTTCTGAACCGACGGCAACAATGTGTATGTATCTATTTTTGTACTCACCTTCTAGTGACTTATTTCTAGCTATCAATGCGAGCAGCATTTCTGGATTAGGATCGTTTGGATCATTTGATGATGAATTTTGTGAAGATTGACTTTGAATATGCACTTGATTATGCGACGACGATGATGTTGATGATGACATATCGATCGTGGATGGCGCCATTTGATGATTTTGAAATGGATGCATCATAGATAGTGCTGATGTCATGTGTAAATGGGATACATGAGTTGTCATCCCACTATTTAATGCTGATGATACGCAAACGGACATTAATTGGTATACACTGTATTTATTTTATTTCAACTATTGATGTATAGACTATAACTTGTTTATTATTTTTTTTATGCCTTAATCCTGGTATTTTTTGATAACTTTTTTTCACGTTTCTGCAATAATTCACGAATTTTTTCTTTATCATTTAAAGTCACTTGAAATTGATATTATTTTCTAGCTCTTAGTCACTAGCTTTCTATTCCTACATATTTCAGCCGCGCAAATTGTGGCACTTGCTATCTTTTTTGTATAGCAATTAAACAAAGACTATTCGTACTGTTGACTTTATGCTTTTAATAAAAACTTCTTTTTGTATTTTTTCATTGTACGATAAAGAAGTTGTAAAGCTTTTGTAAGAATTTCTAATTCAGCTACTGCGATAAACCACAAAATGCACATGCATTTTTAATTACACAAATTATCTATGCATTATTTTTTTTATTATTGAATAAATTCATGCAACACTTGTTTTAATTTTTATTATTATCATGAAAACCTTGATGACTTGTTTTACGGGTCTATTTTGTTCTTTTTATACTCAAACATCCCCCAACAATTAGAAAATATCCAACAGAAACTTTCTCTCGTTTATTGGACTTTTACTGCTTGTCTATGCAAATTTTTAGACTAATTATACATCCGCGATTTAATAACTCCCTCATTTACATCATTTTGTGGATCTATAAAAATTATTTTTTACGTCTAAATCTCTTTTTTTTTCTAGTTCCTCTCAGTCCGTACCGATCGAAATAACTTAAGCGACTGAGCTATGAATCCTTTTCTACAGATTGTTTTCATGAATGTGAAGTCTCGTGTATTTTTATTCTTGTGTGTCACTATAAAAATGTGATACAAGTAGACATGTGTACTTCTGCTTTCAGATAAGACCGAAGTTGAGCTTATGTTGCTTGCGATAAAAAAAAGTCTTTCATGTCTGTATATATATTTTTTTTTCTTCTACGTAGATTGCTTGGCGCATGTTGATTGCGCAATTGATATTTAGAACAACATATGCTGGTCGTACGTTCCAACGTCATGAGGTGAGCCTCTTAACAAAATTAAAAAATATTTTAGTACATATCGCAATGATATTATTTGAGTCACACCAATACAAATGGAAAATTATTGTACTGGAAAAAAATCACCACCTTCATTTCGTTCGTTGCCATGGAAATTTTTTTCCCTTTACACAAAAAATTTTTTCCCCTCAAAATTGAGTGTTTCAAGTACATCCATGGATACAGTTGTATTAGCCGGAAAAATGTGTAAAAGAAAATATTATATCCTCTATGGAGGACTATGAGAGAACGGAAAGAAAAGAATTTATTTAACGATAGATGATGATTGGAGTAACTTTAGTGAATCAATTATTTGATCATTTTACATCCAGAATGTGCAATTTAAATGCAAATTTCTATCGCTGCAGTTTTTACATCGCAATCAGGCTAAATTAAAATCATTTTGATTTTATAAAAAGACTTCATTTTGACTTCTTTGGCTTTTCTTTTCGTTTTTGTGTGAGTCAGGGTTTGAAAATGGCTTGAAACTGAATATTTTTTGTAAACGCAATGTATGGGGATGCATATCGTACCTAACATGATTCCTACATCCATCTCAAAAGCTCACAGACTGTCAATACAACACATCACTTGATCGATAAGATTATCAAAATGTCTGAATTAAAGCCACCAGGGCACATATTTCCGTCAACACTGTGATGAAGCGATTCTCTAGTGACTTAGTTGTTCTGTTCTAAATAGTAAGTTCGAATCAACTGGATTAAATTGAGTTAGAGACAATTTAAAAATAAGGTAAACTCAGTAAGTGCCTAAGTCAAGTAATAGAGCATTGAATTATGACATCCATCATTTGAGAGAAGCTTTTGTGACACGTAAGATAGTAAGGAGCTTAATATTTCATTTATTAGACATCACAAGTGACTATTCTCGACTTGCACAATATGCTGATTGAAAACTGACAAAAGTTTGAACATTAAATCAAGAATTATTCGTTGTCAAGCCCTGAATTCTATCCATTTCATTCCTCTTGTGAACTTCTGTTTGAAGAAGTCTCATAAATAATGCAATGTATATATATTCAGAACGAAATGATATCACGGGAATATAAAAGAGCTTTCATAAATTTTTCAACATTTTTTCTCTCTCTCTCTCTTTCTCTCTCCTTTGAGCTTGCGATGAAAAATAATGCGAAATGTATTTTTATAAGAATATCCATCCAACAAAAAGAATTGAAAAATGAAGAGAGAAAATTGATTTATTGCATGTTGAGAACAATATATGATGCGCATCATGAATGTGAGTAATGAAAACTCATGCAAAATCGCATGGGATATTTGGCACAAGATAAAAATTAAAAAAAGAAATTCTTTTGCTCCTTTTTTTGTTTGTGCATCTACACAAACATACCATAGAGTTCATCAACAGATATCATCATGACTACATTCATTGCATTTTGATAACAGAATTAACTTCTGTTTCAATTCACACTCAACCCACTCTACATCACTCTTTGTGGATGTGCTCTTCTTATCCTTGCTGCATGCGAGACGATATAAAATTTAAATAATTTTCCATTTTCAACATCCTCGTTGAGAAAACATTTAAGCTTTAGCATTTTCACACTTCTGCAGTCGTGAAATTTAATATTTCTGCTGTTCTGTTGCTTTAAATTTTTCGCGCTTCTCACTTCCACTTGAGACGAATAAGAAAAGAAAATTTTCATCTTTAATGTAATTCAATCCATAAATGATGCTCCCTCCAACCTTTATACTTTTCTTTTCCTTTCAACTTGTATCTTTTACATATTTTCGATGAATGACGTCAAAAGTTGAAGATGTTGAATGAAATAAAAATTTTCGTGTGGGAGCTTCTTTCATGCTGTGAATGAAGTTAACGCATTTTGGGTTGTGAATGGATTGTTTGAAATAAATGAAGTAAAGGTATTTTTATATTTCATGGTTCCATCAAAAAAAAGGCGAAAATTTACAAAATTTTATTTCTCCTGACAACATTTGAAGTACAGCATGTGACCTGTTGTATTGCAAATACTCTGCAATACTGTTCGTTACACAACAAACTCAATACATTTCAATAAGTCTTAATCATATCAAAAATATCCATAAAAAACCGGGAAAATACCTAATCTTCAAAAAAGAAAGACAATAAATGACTCGTTGCCATAAATGAATAGCTCTTGAGTTAATTGGCTATATAGCACATTATAAATCATTCCTTTTAATCGATAAGATTGGGGAAAATAATTATTATCCAGCAATGACTTGACAAAATGCTTTAAAATCTACTCAAGCATTCTAAAATCACTGGATATACGCTAAAGTTTTTTCAAATATCTTTTAAACTCCTTTCCCCTTCGTTCATCTCGTAAATGTAATAAAAATTTACTTTGCCTGAATTTTTTAAAACATTTTAGCACATCATATCAATATTTCATGAGTGCTGAGGGAAATTGCTGTTGTGCAATGTGTGAAACGTAATAAAGTTTGTGTATATGTATTATAAAAACCTAAACTTTATATTAAAGTGGTGGTTCAGGTGTCGAGCACTTTAAAAATGAGTATTGCGTTGATAAGATTACTTAAAAAAGAATTAATCGCTTAATTAAATTAATATCAAAGTTGTGATTTTATGTAATTGCTAGATTATCCTATGAGATTCATATTTTATTAATGACAGTGCTCTACAGGTTGTCGAGCTTAATTATTAAACAGGTTTCGAGTGATTTAATTTAATAATTTAAAAAGGAGGCGTAGTTTTTACTGTTTTATGTTCTTAAAGCTTTAAATTAATAATGTGACTGCATTATATGATATGTAATTGAGATTTAACTGGCGATAACTTTTGATATTCAGGATTTTGTTCATTTAGGTGATGTTAAATTGGAATTGTTGTGATTTAAGTTGATAGATAAGTTTCTTTTATTCATGAATGCTTCTATGAGAAGTTTAGAGTCTAATGTAGCTTCATATTACACATACAGAAGAAGCAAAAGTGTCTTCATAACTCAGTTGACAAGGTACAGTTCAAAAAAGTTGGTGTTGAATTTGGACTCTCGGGTTCAAATCCCACCACAAACCTAGTTATTTTTAAGAAGTTTAGATACTTCGGCTTCTTATGTGCAGCAGTTTAAGACGTAAAACTAAGAATTAGGCGATGTGAGATGTAGAAACGAGTCAAGAATTATGTTGACAGAATGAGAAATATACGAGAGCCGTAAATTCACCAACTAGGGCTTTTACTGGAACGGACCTGAAAACATTGTGACCTACTGAAAATTGGAACCAGAGCCGACATGAACACTAGTTCTAAGATTTCCTTTCTACACAACCTTTCAGAGCTTCATTGGATGATTTTCTGCCTAAACTTACATAATGCACAAAAATCTAGATCTTAGTTTGATATTTATTGTTTTATCAAACACAGATCTAGCGATTTGATTTCTAGGAACTGTACAGATCAATTGTGATCAATTTTTACCTTTAGATGACTCCTGAAATTGTCTGGACTGGTCGTCGGTTGTCAATTTTCAACACTAAGTTTCAAAAATGAATCTTACTTGATTTAAAGACGTTCGCATGACATTTTTTTTGTAGCATTTGAACCCTTAACATGGAAGCTTTCCTAGGGTTTGCTCGTGAACTGTCTACTTATTATCCAAAGTCTTTCATACCAATCTAATTTATAATTTATCTAAGAATATGTTCAATGCCTCAATTAAATTATGTCGATGTATAAAAAATTAAAAATACTCCTTAATTATAGCTTTCAAAAATTATATTCATCAATAAATCAACTAAAATTTACATGAACATCCCACACACAAAGCAAAATATCCACAACTCAACCAACAACGCACGCAAAAAAAAAAGATTTAAATAGCCTTTTCACATCAAATACATCTGTCAGAATTTCCTCAATAGAAATATTTTACAATAGAACTTTTGAGAAACTCATGATTAATAATCGGGAATGAATGAACGGAGGAAGTTGTTGATTAATTTTCATTGTTTGTCTTCGACATTTGTTTTACTTGTTCTGTATACAATAATTTTTTATATGTGTACAAGTAAGCATAAAAAGTCATAATTTTTTGCATGTTCCTTTTCAGAACTGTAAAAAACATTGATTTTAAATACATTAGGAAGTGTCTCGAACATGAAACCCGCAATGGAACATATATCGTGTCATTAAATTGTCCTACATTAAGTGAGCATTAATTATTCAAAAATGATATCGCGTTGATGTACTTAAGTTTATT